GAGTAAGGCACATTGGCACAAGTTCAAGGTAGTCTGAGCTACCAAATGAGGCCCTCTCTCAAAACAACAAAATCAAAATCCCACACAACTCTATATGAATCACCAACCATCAGCTACAAAGTATCTTGCCAAAAATATTTAACCTGAATATAAACATAACCTTTCAACCTAAATGCTATTTTCTCGAAAATACAGCAGATAAATAAACCTAGTAAATGATACTATGAGGAAACCTTAGACCAAAAAAAGGTGAGATAATCAACAGCACTTATCTAGGATGCTCAAGACCCTAGGTTCTATCCCTAGCACCCCCAGCCCTATAAGGAGGTCAATGACTAAAAGGAAATGGGAAAAACCATTATAGAACATAGGAAATTACTGAGATACATTAAGTCCCCCACTTATGAATGAGTTCCATTTTGGTAGAATGTCTCCAAGTTGGATTTGTTGGTAACCAACAAAGTGAGTCTTATACAATATACCTGTGAATTTTATTCAGTATACCTGGGCAAGTTCACGACTGGAGTGTTTATAAGTCAGGGACTTACTATATAAAAAGTGCAGTGTGTGAACTCTGGATTCTAGTTCAAAAATAAAAAAAAATGTAAAGGTGAAATGTCATCAAGTCTGCAATTTACTTTTCAACAATTATGCAAAATACATGTCTGCTAATTTTAATAAAAACTTGAGAAGGGAAGATATAGGAAAAACACATGATAATGTAAACAGTATAATTGCAATTGCTTTTTTTAAAAAATTTATTTATTTATTTATTTATTTATTTTGTGCATGTGTGGCCAGCTCAGCCCAGCAGGGGGTGGGGCTGGCTGGCATGTGGCGCTGGGGGATTGAACCGCGGTCCCTGTGCTTTGCTTATCTTAGCTTGTTCTAAGTAGGTGCTTTAGACCACTGAGCCATCTCACCAGCCCCTGCAATTGCTTTTGAGAGGTAAACAAGGTAAATGAAGTCGAGAGAATCTCTTACATAGTGCCATCCTTCAGAATTTTCCAAATGTTTTTATTGTGTATGTTTCAGCTATACAAATGAAGGTTCTGTTTTAGTAATACTGAAGGTTGAATCCAGGGCCTTGGCTCTGAGCTGCATCTCAAGTCCTTTTATTTTGAGGCAGGGTCTAAGATTCCTAGGCAGGACTTGAACTTGTAATCCTATTGCCTCAGCCTCCCAGAATAAAGGTGAGATAGTCAAAAGCATAGTCCCAGAATGATGGGACTACAGTTGTCACCATCCCATTCAGTTTATGAATCAGTATTTTAAGATAAAGTGTGGCTATCTTTTCAACAGTGCTATTATAGTTTCATTTTCTTCGTATTAGATTCCAACGAAAGGATTTTTTTTTGGTGGAACCAGGGACTGAACTCAGACCCTTGCGCTTGCCAGGGAAGTGCTTATTCCACTGAGCCATCTCCCTGGCCCAAAAGGACATTTTTAAAAAAGTTTAGACTGGTGTTACAGGATGAAAAGGTACAGTTTAATTTCAGTAAATTCTATCTCATGATTCTCCCCATTCATGTTATATGGCTGAACCGAGGATCTGATATTCAATAATACCATTCTATCCAACCATAAAAAAAGGTCCTTCCATGGAAGCAGAAAAAAGTGATTAAGACCTTGGGCCCAGATGTGGCAGGGAATGCCTATATTCCAAGCTACTTGGGGGACTGAGGCACTGCTGCAAGTCCAGGGCCATCCTGACCAACTGGAGGGGTTTAGGGGCAGACCACATGCTTAGCATGCAAAAAGTCATGAGTTCAATCGTAAGCACTAAAACAAAGAAAAAGGTTGGAAAGGGGCTTGTATGACAGACCCAGACCAATTCTAATACTAGTTTCGGTATTTCTTAGCTGGTGCCCCCTCCCCTAACCAGGAAAAAATGAAAAAGACCTGTAACTCTACAGGTCTAAAAAAACGAATGGCATATTCTTGTGAAGTATGACAGGCATAGGTTCTAATCCTGGCTCTTAGAAACATAGGCAAATTGTTATACTTCTGTATCTCAGTCCCTGTAGGTATAAAGTGAAGGCTTTATTAGGTGTAAAGTATGTGCTTTGGATTCATCAAATCCTGGGTTCAATCTCCAGAACCAAACATGAAAAATACAATAGCACAAATGCTAAGAATTCCAATGAAACACTTGGCATAAATAGATGCTCCATAAAGGATAGGCCTATCCTAACACCGCGTCTGGACTCAGCTGTCTGACCTATTACAGACTAGTACATCACACAAACCAGGTGTCAGTCTTTCAGGAACTAATTTCCAATCTTTTGGGCTTCTCCCACAATCTCCAGGAAAGAGAAGAATTCACAACCAAAAGCCTCTTTACACAAACATTCAATTATATCTCAAACATTTTTATAATATATAGTACATACAATACACCAATAAAATGTTTCAAGGATGGGCGGCGGAGATGGTTCAATGGAGTAAGCACTTCCCTGGCAAGCACAGGAGCCTGAGTTCAATCCCCAGTTCCGCAAAAAAAAAAAAAGTTTCAAGGAAACATTCCTTAGCACACTCACAGACCAGTTATTAAAACACAAAAACATACACCAGAAATAGAAGACAGAAGAAAATAAACATTAATGTTTACAGTGTCTGCTGTGTGCCAGAAAACAAGAGCAACAGATTAAGAAGGAATACTTCCTAGAGATTGACTTGAAGAATGGGGCAGGAGGTAGTATGACCAAGGACATTTTTAGAACAGTTGGATATAAAAATCTACCAATGTTGAGGAGACTGAATGCCAAAAGGTGTATGCTGGCTTTTTCCAAAGGGGATGCAACACCAGAACCCTAAGAAACTGGGTAATTTCCACACATTAACCCTCCAGGCCAGTGGTTCTCAAACGACCTGAAATGGGTAAGTAATTCTGTGCTCTGTCTTACAACAAGCAATGTCAGAAATTAGGACAGGCAACGTAAAAGAGGAATTTTTGTCAATCATACTTGGGAAGTAGAAGTGCTATCATCCAGAGGGCAAGTGCCAGGGAAACCGCAAGACACAATACACAGGACCAGCCTTACTACAAAGAGTTATCTCACTGATGTGCCAATATTGAGAACTCGCCCTCTAAGCTGAGATCCAAACTTGGACAAGATTCAAGAGCAGGGTCCGGGGCTGGGGAGATAGCTCAGTAAAACAAGCGCTTGCCTGAGAAGCGCAAGGGCCTGAGTTTAATCCCCAGTTCCACCAAAACAAAACAAAACAAAATAAAAAACAAAACAAAAAAAAGGAGCAGGGTCTCCGGGCTGGAAAATAAGTGGCAATGACAGCAGAATTCCCATCAGACCACTTCGGAGTACATGAGTATCACCATATGGAAACAAGGAAGTTAAGCTACGAATAGACACTTCCTGATACGAATAAACACTTCCTGTAAAGTGCCGGCTCAAGTAACTGTCACACTAACATGTCCCATTTCCTGAACAGCCTAAAATTATTTTCTCCTTCATTTTCTTTCCCATTTAGAATATAATTTCCACGAGAACGCAGATTTTACTTATTCTATTCTCTGATATTCCACAACTTGAACTCATGATGATCATTAAAAGCAAAAATGTGGAAGGCAAATGAGTTTAAACTTTTGACAGTTTCCATGGCAGGAAAGGAACGCGTCGCGGCAATGATCTCTGAAAAACTCAGGATACCAAGAATTCAAGCGCTGGGTCTTGAATTTAAAAGTGCCGCTTTGGGAGAGAGGAGCAAAAAGAAGGAATTGGAGTCTACCAATGTAGGTGGCAGAGGGCACGAGGGTGAAGCTGGAGTGTACCGTCTGGAACATCAGCCACATCATGGCATAGCTCCCACATTTTTCAGGTGGGTCGAACAAGGCTGGGAAGCCGGAACCAGCCAGACAGGCAAGAAGGCGCGCAGCTGGCAGCTGGCTCCCTGGCAGTTGGCCCCCGATTAGCCTCTTTTGGCGGGAGGGGGCAATAGGCGGGGCATTGTACAGTTTGGCCAGTACCACTCAGGTCGGAGCGGTGTCCTATAAAACTTGGGGAACTAACACCTGGGGAAGACGCTGGAGTCAGAGGAATCGCGGGCGGAATGGGTTCGAGTCGAACCCCCTAAGCAGCTAGGAACGTTTTAGGGTTCACAAGGTTTCAGGTTGCAGGGCCTGGGTTGTACTACTCTAGTGCCAGAGAAGGGGGGTTCCAGGCCGGGACGTGTGCTGAGCCACAGCTGGGTTTATCTCACCAGAGCCATTGGGTCCAATGATGGCGGTGAACCTCTGAAACGGTCCGATAATCTGTCGACCCTTGTACGATTTAAAGTTTTCGATCTCAATCAATTTCAGGAAACCCATAACGGCGACGACGGCAGTAGTGAGAAAGGCCCCGCCTTACGCTCAGGAACTGATGTAGCCCGCGCGGAAAGGCCGCGGTGCAGGCCGGGAAGAGGGTAAAGCTCGCGAGAATAACTCCATTCCAAACGGGATTTCCTGCTTCCTGTGCGAGCCGGAATTTGACGTAGATGGTTTTGTTGATCCATTGCTAGGGCTCGAGACTGTGACTTGTTTAGGCCCCGCCCCCTCAGTGTTGCACAGCAACACACGCGGCAGCGACCGTGGACTGAATTGTAGAGTTGGAGCCAGAGGACTCAGAGAGCTTGGGCGATCTAGAAGGCAGGCGGGACTTGAACCCACATTTGTTGTGACTAATCAGAATTCAAAGTTATGTCCCCCAAGGCAAGTGGAAGGTGGGAACCCCGCTGTGGCTTTAGTCTAGCCAGCCATAAGATTCCAACAAGGCAGAGCCAGGAATTGGAAAGACCCGGGGAAACGGAGGGCTGGTCTGGAAGGAAAGGGTCAGTGGAAGGATTCGGTGTTAGGTGAACTCAGACTTGCTGATGGTAAAAGTGAGATTGGAGGCGGAATGACATGTGAAGGGGGGATATTCCTGGGCGATGGGCAAGCAAACTGGGGACAGTTATGGCCTGAGATGGCTCCTAGTCCTTGCCTCACTCCTTTTCCTTCACACAGGGCTCAGAGACTGCCACAGTAACCCAAGAACAGACTTGGTTCCACACCTAACCTACGAGCTTCATAGTCGGCCTTCCTGAGAAAGGTATTTTGTGTGAACCTGAACCTCCTGGAGTCAGGATCTCTAAGCCAGTACTCTCCATTTCCAACCTTCCTCCCCATCCAATTCTCCCTTCATAGCTTTTCCCATTCTGTTCCCTAGCAGTCAAAGAAGCTTAAACTGTCTATTGAATCTTCCCCTTCAGTGACCTTATATCATGGCAGATGGAACTGGTAGGATGGGCTTGGTGCTATCCTCAACATAGATATGGAAAGGATCTGGTAGTTGCTGTAGCCATTCCTGTGACTATTTTTTAAATGACTGCTGAAAACTAGTAAAAGTCCTAAAGACTTAAGTCAAGTCCAGTGAAGTGAGAAATCTTGGTTGATGGGATCTAGTAGAAGAACCATAAATGAAGTTCAATTGGGAGAAAGTCGCAAATCGGGCCACTTGTCTCCTTGGACATCTCTTCTGCCTTGTACATTCTTGTTCACCCACACTTACCTTAGAGACTTCATACAGTTTTGTAGCTTTAAATTTCTTTGTGTTACTGGGTAAGGGTGTAGTTCAGCACTAAAGCACTTGTATAGCATGTGCAAGGCTTGGGATTCCATCCCCAACAGCACAAAAAAATTTATTTGTATCAGTCAGGATAGGCTAAATTATACTGAAATTACAAACTCAAGTTTCAACAGCTTAGAAAAAGAAATGTTTGTGTCTCACTTAGGCATCTTGCCCATTGTAGGCTCTATATCATCATTCCAGGACACAGGCTCAAAGAGCACCCCTTAATCTGGGACATTGCCAGTGTCATATCAGAGTGAATAGAAAAAGTAATAGTCACTGAATGGCTCTTAGTTCTGCTTGGGAGCAATGTGTCAATCCTCACATTGCAGGGAGCAAAGCAAATCAATGGCTAACCCCAAGGGAAATGACATAGGGATATATAATCCTTAGCAGCAAATATTTTTCAACAATACTAGTCATACCATCTGTATGCTAACAATGTACACAACATCTCAAATTCAACCTGTCCAAAACTAATGCTCTGGTGTGGTGGTACAAGTCTATAATCCCATCACTTAGCAATCTGAGACAAGATAGGTGAGTTGAAGGCTAGCCTAACCTACAAAGTGAGGCTCTGTCAAAAAAAAAATGCTCTGATCCTCCCACCACCTACTTGCTCACCCCACATAGACTGTTCAGTTGATCCATCTGATGGCTCAGGCCCAAATCCTTGAGGTCATTTTTTTCCCATAATTTTATTGAATTGAGGTCATTCTTGATCCCTCTCACACTGCACACCCAACTTATCAGAAAGCAGGAAGTCTAGTCATTCCTGCCTTCAAAATAAATAAATACGACCACTTCTCAACACCTCTGCTGCTGCTAACCCAGTGTGAATCACCATGATCTCTTCCCCCCCCCCGGAACCGGGGATTGAACTCAGGCCCTTGGGCTTGCCAGGCAAGCGCTTATTCCACTGAGCCATCTCCCCGGCCCCCTTAATTTTTTTTTCTTTTTTCTTTTTTTGCCATAATCTCTTGCTTGGAGAACTGCAAAAGCCTCAACGGATCTACTTCTAGTCTTGCTTCCTCTTTCCCCATTCTGTAACCCAGCAACCAGAATGACCCTTTAAAAATCAAAGTCAAAACATTTTACTTCACTGCTCAAAAACCTCTAGTAGCTGCCCACTTCTCAAGAGTTAAAGCCAAGGCCTTTGTAATGGCCTACAAATCCTACTATGATATGCTCCACATTCTCTAATGCCATTTATTAACTATTTATCCTGCACCCACTTACTCTAGCCACTTAACCTCCTTGCTGTTCCCTTGTCTGCCTCTCATGATTTCACCATAAAGCCTTTGTGCTTGCTGTTCCCTCTGCCTGGAATGATCTCTTCCAGATCCATGGGCAGATGCATGGACAATTTCTTCACCTCCTTCAAGTGCTGTTTAAATAATGCTTTTTTCAGTGTTGTCTCTCCTGACTAAAACTGCAAAATCCCCCCATTTTCTTGGTACTTCTCAATTTCCCTTATAATGTGCAATACTTTTCCAATGTAACTTACCTTTGTGCAAACTATTTAATGCATTTAACTCTTTATTATCTGCCTGTTCCCACTAGGAAAAGAACCTCCATGGAGACTCAGATTTTTGTCACTTTGTTTGTTTCTCAGATAATTGTCTGGCTGCTAGTAGGCATTCTACAATTTTTTTTTTTTTTTTGCGGAACTGGGAATTGAACTCAGGCCTTTGCGCTTGCCAGGGACGCGCTTATTTCACTGAGCCATCTCCCCGGCCCCTTTACAAATGTTTCTTAAAGGATGGAATGAACAGGGTGGCAAAAGCAATATACTGAGTAATATAGCCCGACATTTTATTTTTCTGTATTTAGGACAGGGTCTACAGGGTCTTTCGGGTCTCACTACATAGATTGGACTCATAGTGATTCTCCTGTTTTCAGTCTCCCAAGCACTGGGATTACAGGATGCCCAATAACACGTAGTCTCACTTGCTGTTTTGGTACACTCTGGGGTTAGGGCTGGCACAGCACGCCCAGGATCAAACCCCAGCCACTGTGCTCTGCCTAAGCAGGTACTTTAGTCCACTGAGCTATCAGGCCAGCCCTAGCCTGACATTTTAGAAAGGTCAAAAACAATAAAACTTTAAAATGTTCAGGGGTTCACAGACACACATGTGTAAATATCGTATAGTCTCCCTGGTATAGGAACTCAAAAGAAGAAATACAGATAGAAGGATATGGTGCAAGTAGAGGGAAAGCAGGATCTCGAGGACTGACTGATCGGGAGAGGGAAAGGAGAAGAGCTGGGAGACATGACAATGTCAAGCCATACAGTTATATGTAGAAGATGAGCAAGGCAATGATCCTGATAATATTCAGAAGGTTTTTTAATCTAGCAGTTAATTGGAGAGATTCTCACCCTGACTAACTCTTTATGCTGATACCTGTGAACTAAGTTACTGCACTGCAGATGGTAATTTGTAATAGTAGTTTCATGTTTGGAGGGCCTGTCATTGTGGTATTCTGAATATGGGCTGCTTGTTATGACATGCCAGTTGCTGCTATGACGTCTCTCGGGTAGGTGGATGTTCAAGAAGAAGGGGGTGGTGAATGAAAGCAAGAGACAGGAAAAGGAATATTGTGGGACTATCCTGCTTTAAGGTTGTATATGGTGAGATTTTTGGACTTATGTGCAAACAAGAGAAGTATATAATTCTTTATCCTATTTTTAAAATATAATCTAATTTTTAAATATTTTTTATCATGTTATGTAGGGACTTAAAGTTCAACATATCAATGCTTGATGAAAAATGCCTGTTCCTTATTATGCCTAAGATGTTTGAAATGCAGAGATGGTGAGGTTAAGCTTAATAGCCTAAGTTGTTTGATAATAACAATGGGCTTGTCTTCTGGGTGGTTAACAACCTAGGTTTGCAGACCAAAATTGGAGAAAAAGGAGGGCTGCAAGGACAGCCATCATTTTGGCCCTAGCCTTCCAAGGTCAATTAAGACTCAGGACATATGAGAACTTGTACTGTAACATCATGTGACTCGGTAGTGTCCCAAATTTTCTGATCAAGGAGATTATGGGGCCAAGGAGGAAGGCGGTCGATGATGTAGAGTGTGCCTAGGGAGAGTCGCATGGAGAGAAAACATTCTCTCAGGCTTTCACGGAGAGCACATTGGCCAGGCAATGGCTGTGACTCATCCACATGGCTGACACTGACAGGGCTTCTACAATCTGAGGTACAAGATCTCAGGATAAGTCCTGAGGGGATTTCACTGGCCTTGTCAGACCCAAAAGCTACAACTCTTGTTGCATAGGTCCTGCTTTACCTTGGTCTTGACCATCCAGTAGAAAAGTATAAAAATGAAGTATAAGATGTAAAGCCATGCTATCATGTTGAGCTGTGGGGGAGTCAGGTCAACAATTTCTGACATTGCCAGTAAAGCGGAAGACCCAATACTATTGTGGGCTACTGGACTCTTTTAGAATATTTTGCTGAGTTTACACACCTATAATATTCAAATAATGGAACTTAACAAAAAAAGGGTATACAGATGAATGTCCATTTTGTATCTGTATATTCAAAGTGGTTAAGATAGATATATGGTTACATTCTCTTAATGAATAGAATGATTTGTTCTAATGGTGTTTGTAGATAGGATGTCAGGTCCGCATCTTGTGCAGCAATTGACCACTAGGAAGAATGTATGCAGTGTGTTAATTATTGAAACTGTCCTACCGATTTGATATGAGACTGTCTCATTGCTATTTGTTTATCAATAAAAATATGGCAAAAAAGAAAAAAAATGTTCAGGGGTTCAGACACAAACATAATAGAATAATACAGATTACAGAGGGAACCATACAGACTTTGAGTAGTGTGGGGGTTATTCTTGGAGTAAGGATGAAGCAGAAGAGACACAGTACACTTTAATCCATTCAAGTGGGTAGTTGATTCAGGGTTTCTAACTTTGTCTTGCTTCCAAACATACACGTGGGTTATGTATATTTTCCTAAATGTATCAACTATTTTGTTTGAGACAGGGTCTCTCTGTGTAGTTCAGGCTGGCCTCAAACTCTTGACCTGAGTGCTGGGATTAGGCATGCACCATAATGCCCAACCTGTATCAACTATTTTAGTTACAAAATGGTTTAAAAAAAGATGGGGGCCAGGGATGTACCTCAGCAGTACAGCACCTGCCTGGCAAGCATGAGGTCCTGAGTTCAATTCCCAGTACCAAAAAATAAAAATAAAGATGAAAAGTAGCTATAGGAGAAGTTGAATAATGATGCCCACACATAGTGACACACACCAAGGCTCTAAAGTAGAAACAGTTGTGTTGGAGTACTTGCTAGGAGCCCAGTGTGCCTGGGATACAATAAGCAAGGGAGACAGTAGTATGTAACAAACTGGAGAGCAGATCTTGGAAGCCTGGGCTAAGGAGTTTGGATCTGATTCTCAGTGCAGTATGATGCCAGTAAAAGATTTTAAGCAGGTGAGAAGCAAATTTATGCTTGTAAAGTTGTTTTGTTTTGAAGCAGAGTCTTGCCTAGGCTAGCCTTGGACTTTGTAGCCCAAGCTGGCCTTGAACTTAATGATCCTCCTGCCTCAGCCTCTCAAACACTGGGATTAAAGGCCTATACACCTACACCTGGCTCAGTGTTTTTCTGCCCTGGCTTTGGCTGCCTTGCATGCCAAAAGTGAGTTTTCCAAAATATGAACACAGGCAAATTTAAGCTCTCTAGCCTTTAACTGGCTATAACGTAAGTAATAAAGGCAAAGGAAATATTTATTTTAGAGAAGAAAGCTGTTTTTGCTTGTTGTGTGATGAATAGACTATTAGAGGAAGCTAGAAGACCAACGTGGAGACCACTGCAGTCATTCAGGAAGGTGATGACAGTGGCTTTGACTAGGGCTATTTTTGAGAGAATGAGGGAAAGTAAGGATGAAAGATGCCACTTAAGTGTGGGTCTGAACCACCTGGTGAAGGGTGAAATGAGGAAAATTGAGTAGAGAAAAGGCACATATTGTCAGAACCTTTGAGGCTTAAAAAGGTGAGGAGCCAGACCATCAAGAATCTTATAAATCTGGCACAAGGTGTTGGACCTTATCTTGTGAACACTAGGGAGCTATTTGCTTTAAAGCTCTTTCAAAGATTTTAAAGGGCCAGCCTGATAGCTCAGCGGACTAAAGCGCCTGCTTAGGCAGAGGCAGCAGCCAGGTTCAATCGCTGGCATGCTTTGCTGTCGCCGTCCACAGGGCGTACTGAGACAGCCACTGAGAATGGGTGTGGTGGTGCACCCCTGTAATCCCAGCACTTGGGAGGCTGAAAACAGGAGAATCATTATGAGTCCAATCTATGTAGTGAGACCCTGTAGACCCTGTCCTAAACACAGAAAAAAAAAAAAAGATCTTAAACTAAGGAGTGGTCAGATGTGCTTTTAGAAAAATTACTCTGGTAGCAAAGAAGATAAATATTGCTTGACATTAGACTGTGAGTGCTAACAGCAGAGATGGAGGACACAGATATAAATATATCCGGAAGTAAAATGAGTCAGAATCAATTACAAAGGAGATTATTAGAGAGAAAGGAATGGAGGGGAGATGTCATCAAGAACCATGGTCAGCACTGATGGGCCATTTCACCTCCCTCTTGCTCCAGATGTATAAGGCAGACCTGTCATCAGATCCCAAAGAGGTGGCAGCCATTGAGGCTAGAAGAAATCGGGAAAAAGATCGACAAAATCGATTCTTCAATGTGAAAAACCGAGTCATGGGGGTGAGTGGGCAGGCGGTCTGTTTCACAGGACTGGGACCCCTTCACGGTTACATGTGGAAAGGAACATGGCAGTGCTTGCTATGGCCCTTTCACCAACTCACACAGGTATTAGGGCTGGAAAGGAGGAGGCATGTACCTTAACAGGCCAGGGAAGGGTTTGGGAAGAGGGTTGGAGAGATATAGGGAAGAGATTGAAGGTGACAACTATCTATTTTCTTGTTAGCTCTGGGCCATATGGACTTATTCTCTAGAGACAGGCAACATGGACCCAAAAAAGGCATGAAGAAGCAGGATGTGTGTGTGCATGCCTGCAATTGCAGCATTCTGGAAAGCTGAGGGAGGACCAGTGCAGGTTAGAGATCAGTGTCCATGATTTAGTGAGACCCTGTCTCAAAAATAAATAAGTCTGGGGATATAACCCAGTACAAAGGCCCTAGCTTCAATCCTCAGTACCACAAAAATAAAAGGACCTAAACAATATTTAGTGTTGCATATTACATATGCCTAGGCCGTGTTTGCAGGGTTACCTGAGATCTTGTAAGCAGAACAAGGGATAAACTTAAGGGTGAAGGGGAGCTTACTCTTCACTACACTGAATCCCCTTTTCTCTTTTGAAATGTTTTATAATTAAACTAAAGAGAAAATATTGATAGCTTAAGGAATAAGAAACAGGATTGTTGGGTGGGTGCAACAGCATTCTGGAAAAAGACACCATACCTCTGTACCAGGCCATGTCTGCTGTCAGAGGTATAGTTTTGAATAAGTCATCTTTGTCCTCTGAGCTCTAGGCTCCTCTTCCATAAAATGAGTAAAATGGAGGTATCACTCTGAAAACCAAAACATAGTGCCTGACACAAGGAAGTAGTTGGCTGAAGTTTTGAGTTGTCTGATGGAGATACAGGTGGCAAGCATTCCCTTGAGGCCTGTTCTGTGCTAAGCACTGTGGTGGGTAGTGGGGATACAAAAATAACATAAGGTTCAGTCTGCCCTGAAAGTGCTATAGTCTGGTAGAGAAAATAACAGGCAAGTCAGTTTCATTGTAATGTGGACAGTGGATCCCAGATTAAGGGAATAGAACCTGTTCAAGGGGTCAGGAAAGCAAAGCCTGAGCTGGTCTTGAATGGCAAATTGGAGTTTGGGTAAAGAGGGAAGGAAAAGAGCGTTCCAAGTGGAGGAGCAAGATGATGGGTTCCAGACAGCTTAAGATGTGCTTGGAATTGGAAGAACAGCTCCTAAGGCCAATGTGAAGAGGGCCAGGAAAAGAGTACAAAGAGGTAAGGCTTGAGGAGGTAGAGGCTACACCAAGGAGGTATTTATGATTGGAACTTTATCCAGTAAGTTCTAGAGAAGCATAGCAGGATTTTGAAGAACATTAAGTTCTAAGAAGTTCACGTTAGAGCACTCAAGGCCCCTTGCTGGGCTCCTACATTGATTTAACTCCTTTCTTTCGGACCCAGGTGGATGTGGAAGCTTTGAACAATCAAGTGGAAGAGCACAAGCTTCAAGAGGCAAGAGAACGAAATAAGGAGGAAGCTTATGGTAACTACCCAAACCAGGGACAGACCAAACAAGGGAGTAAAGCAACAGCCTGAATGAGCTGAAGTAGGGCCATTCTGTTTCTGAGTAGGGCCTAAGGCCCTGGGATAGTGAGACAAACTAGTTGGCCCTTGGGAACACAGGCCAAGGAGACTGGGCTCTGACCCTCTTGTTGTGCATTCTCTATGTCCCTGCTCATCACCCCCAGGTACCAAGAATGTGCACTATGATCTGGTAGCCCAGATGCTAGAGAAGGAGGAGGCAAAACGAGCACGCCGCATGGCTAAGAAAATCCAAGATTTTCGACAGCAGAAGCAGGAATTCAAAAACAGATGTGAATTTAAACTTCAGGATCCATTCCAGTTCCAGGGCTGTGTAGCCCAATACCGGGAGCCTCCAGCTTGTCTCAGTGATAATGGTCCCTTCTGTGGCCCAGCCAGCATGCATTGCTTCTTGGGGGAAGATCTAGATAGGGCCTCATTCCTGAGAATGCAACAGCAGCAGTTCAGATACAACTTGGACAGGCAGCTGCAGGAGCAACAGCAAGTCAGGGCTGAACAGAAATATGCAGGTAAGCAGGCTATTCCTTCAGTCTTAAGAGACCAAGGCATAGCAGGAAATTCTCCTGAGCTGGCTACAGCATCCACAAGGCCAGAATAGTGTGGGGAATTTGTTACCCATAATGCCAATAGTGAAACATTGGACTGTGCAGGTCTAACCTTCCTGATTTCCTTCAGTAACTAACAACATACCTGTTGTTTCCAACCAACACTCAGTGTTCTGGCCCTCCATTACCAAGATGAAGCATGGTATACACACACACACCTGCCAACTTTTTTATTGTACTGGAGAGTGAACACAAGGCCTTCACACATGGACACACAACCTCAGTCTCCGCCACCCCACTTTTGAGACAGGGTCTCCCTAAGTGGCTAAGTTGCCCAGGCTGGGCTCAGCACCCCCCCCCCATGCTGAGATTGTAAGTGTGCATCAATATGCCTAACTAAGCATACATTTTACCTGAGCTACATCCCCAGTTTCATCTTTAAAACAGGTGTACTAGGGTCAGCAGACTATGCACAGAGACTGGGGTTCACACCACATGCCATGCTGGCCCCACCCCCGGGTGCACTGAGCTGGCCACTGAAACGGCATGGTGGCACACACCTATAATCCCAGCACTGGGGAGGCTGAAAACAGGATCACTATAAGTCCAAGCTGCATAGTGAGACCCTGTACCAAATACATAAAATAATTGTACTAATCCTTACCACGGGGTAGCTACTGTTATTTTGTCTGTGGCCAAATCTTCCTTTAGAGAAAGCCCTTCTAGAACAAGGACCATATCTTATGTCCATGCACTATTCACCTTTCAGATCACCACAATGTCCAGTAGATCCTAGGACAGGAAGATCAATGTGTAGCTAAAGTGGGATAAAAAGTCTGTATTTTTGCTTGTGCTATTCCCCCAGCCTTGAACACTGTTTGCTCCTTTTGCCTGTATACAAAATGTACTTCAAAGATCACCTCCTCCTAGAACCCTTCTTCTCACCCACCACCCAAAGACTTCATGTTTTCTATTCTGTTTGGGTGCTGTGGATTGAATGTGGGGCTTCACACATGTTAATTATGTGCTCTACCACTTAATTACAACCCCTCGGTCTTCATGCCCTGTATACATCTCTGCCATTGTCCTTACCAGATTATGGTCTGATTATCTCTTTGATCAGTTTCCCACACTAGACAGGGAATTCTTCTGAGGACAGGATCTAATTCCATAGTATCCTTGAAACCCAGTACATGGCCCTTAGACTGAGGCTTAGAGAAAAGAAATTATTTACCCAAGGCCACACTCAGAGGTAACAAAACTATACCACAAGCCAGGTTGCTTCTGCACTTGGACTATCTGTAGCCCCAAAGAATTGCTCCTTCTACACGCCTACAACTTGGATACTAACCCCCTCGAGAACATTCATACACATAAAAAACATTTGTTGAATAAGTGCTGTAATAAGTGAACCAAGAATGAAGCAAGCCATTATGGTAACTCTGTGCAGATACGCTCAGTGACCAGCTGCAACTAGCCATGGACACGCAGGCTACCCAGATGGCCAGGCTGGAAGAGTCTTGTCGTGTTGCCATGAGGTCTGCCAGAGCCAATGCCAACAAAGTCCAGGTATGGACTGACCCATCCAGTATACTGGGCTGTCCCCAAACTTCTGAACAAAGTTCTGGGGAACCTTAGCCACATCTTCCTTCTCCACCTAAGGTCCTTCTTAGGGCACAAGTTGCCTCTCTCTACCTCCATACATGGGATGACCTAAGAACAAAACGTTGCCCTTCATTCCTATCTCTAAGGCCTTCCTGAGTGCAGAGGAATCCCCTGCCCTTACAGTCTTTAGAAGGCCATGCACTGTTTCTTTGTTCTCTCTGAGATGGAGAGGTGGGGCCATGTTTTTCCCACCCCTGCAAGTGAGAGCTCCCTAAGATGGAGTACTTAAAAACATATATTTGGGGACCCCACCAGGCAGCTAGGCTGGCTGAGCAGCAGCACAATGAACATCAGCGTCAACAGGAAGCCAACCTCACAGACATACAGAAGCAAAGCACCAGTAATCTCCTGACTGAGAACACCCAGGCTACTCAGCACTCCATGGCTCCCCACCGAGTCCAGCCCTATGGCTGGAAGGGTATGACTCCAGATCAGAAAGCTGACATCAAGAGAGCTCAGGAGGCACAGTGCCATGAGAAGGAGGCACAGCGCCAAGCTGAGCAAGCATTGGATGACAAGTGGGCCAGCCAAACTGTATGCTTGGCCCAAGCAGCACTGGAGCTAGAGGAGCAGGAGAAGGAATTGTGTGCTGAATTTCAGAGAGGGCTGGGCTCCTTCAACCAGCAGCTGGCCCAGGATCAAAAGGCCCAGTGAGTTCTAGGGGGTGGCAGTGGGGATGAATGCCAAGGGAGGGTTGGAAGGGATGGTGATGAACCAGGGACAGAAAGGAGGGATGGCAAGGACCAGGAAAAGAAGGAAAACACATTATCTGAGGTTTCTGGACTTCTTTTCACAGGCAAAATTATCTGAATTCAGTGATCTACACCAATCAGCCTACAGCCCAGTATTATCTACAGTTCAACACTAGCAGCCGCTGAACTCGAGAAGGTCATCTCTTTTTATTAAGCTCACAGATGGTTAACAATCAGAAAAATGCTGCATAGCCCTACCTTGAATCCATTCCCTAATGGGAGAGCTAAGCTGATACCCCCATCTTTTATCCAAGACAATAAAGTTATTCACTGAAGTCAAAGTCGTGTGTAACAGGACACAAAAGTGTGATGTACTGCCTTTCCCATGCTACCCTGGTGCTTTGGGCATCCAACACTGTTGGAGCCTTCACTTTTCTTCCCCATGCCAGCTACTCCAGTACACAGCACTGCCCATATTCCTTTGGAGACTTTATTAGTCACAGAGGCAATTGGTAGGTGGTTACAAATGGCTATTGGGCTTCCTCAGAGGAAGGTAAGGCCCAAGAGCCTGTGTTTTCCCTGCCTTCTCCTTTCAAGGCTGCATGCGGATGGCCCCATCCAGCCGGATGACCTCGCCATTGAGGAATGGGTTCTCGATTATGGTCTGTACCAGATGAGCATACTCAGCAGGGTCTCCAAGTCGAGTGGGGAAAGGTACCTGGCTGGCCAAGAAGTTACGCACCTTTTCTGGGAGGCTGGTCAGCAGTGGGGTGCCAAACAGGCCTAAACAAGATAACCAGAGTGAGACTCACCCTTATTTTCATATGTACTCGATTTTTTTCCCACCTTAGCGCTACTTGGTGTTTCCCTGGGGTCCAAAAATAGAAGGCTGATGTTGCTTAGGTGGTACATATATTCCCTTAACTACCCACAGATTCTTCCCAGTCCCAGGTATGGCAAGGAGAAGGATATTGTCTACCTGGAGCAATGGTCATCACCCGAATGCCTATGGGAGCCAGATCCCGAGCAATGGGCAGTGTCATGCCCACTATGCCTCCCTTAGATGCAGAGTATGCAGCTTGTCCAACCTGGAGGAGTGAAGGTTATAGGTGGGAGGGCCCCAACAAGTAACTGAGGAAGCACAGTCTTGCCCCTACCCACAAACCTGGCCATCAAAGGCAGCCACACTGGCAGTATTGATGATAACCCCACGTTGGCCTCCCTGGTCTGGTTCATTCTGGCACATCTCACCAGCAACCAGGCGGATCACATTGAAGGTGCCTAAGAGATTCACCTGGAGGATGAGTAAAGACATGGTGTAGAATCTAAAGCATAAGTTTGTTCCCCAAAGCTTTGGGAGTACCCATCACCAGACACCTCTATTCCTTCCCCTGGAGATCCTCTTAAGACCTTACATTGATAATTCGCTGGAAGTCCTCCAAGCTGTGGGGCTGCTTCTTCTTTAAGTGGTATGTCTTACTGGCCACTGCAATACCTGCACAGTTGACAGCCACATCCACGTGGCCAAAATTTTCCTTTGCTAGAGTCAGGGCTGTCTGTATGTCCTTCTCAGATGTCACCTTCAAAGGGGAAAAATGGAGATGCATTTCCTACCACACATCACTGACCTTGAGGGAGCACAAGGTCCAATTCTTGAGTGGGAAAGAAAAGCCAAGAGAAAAGTTGTGGTAACACTGGAGAATGGGGTGAAGGTAAAAATCATAGGTACTATAGGCAGTCTTGCAAGACTTTTTTTTGCAAAACATTTTTCAAAGCTAAACCTTGTGATAAATTCACACACCCCTGGTGATTCTCAATTGCTGTGGATTAGAGAATTAATACAATCTTGTTTTGAAAACTGTTGATAAGAATGTCAGGGTTTTTTTCTGCATCCCTATCTGCTAGATAATTTCACCATACTTTACTTTCTGTACTTTATTTCTTGAAAACAAATTTTTCAAACTATAGATACCTCCTCCAGGAGACTGTGGTATGTCTAATCCTCTTCCCCATTGTGAATGAATCCCAGTTTTATTTTGTTTTTATTTTTTATTTTTTGGTGGTATGAGGCATTGAACTCAAGACCTTGTGCTTGCCTGGCAAGCACTTACTCCACTGAGCTGTCTCCCCAGCCCACAAATCCTAGTTTTAGAGTCCCCACTTCAGGTGTTCCCACAGTGCTTGAAGGCTTAGGCCAAAAAGGACGAGGTGGTAAGATTCCCAGGCCCGATGGATGACATCCATGGGAAGGACCCCCATAGGTCCCCAGGTAGGTGTTGATGACCTGACACACGCCCTCACCCTCGGAGAAGAGACCTAAGTCCACTTACGTCAGCTGGGGCAAACACACAGCTCTTTCCTAACTTCTTGGCCTGGGCCTCTCCATCAGACTTGGGCAAGTCCAGAAGCACAGCACTAGCCCCTTGCCCCACCAGTCGCTCTGCTGTAGCCAAGCCGAGGCCTGAGGCTCCTCCAGTTATTACTGCAACGAGGCCCTGTGAAAAGAGACCCAAGGTCAGCTGCTACACTGCCAGTCCACCCACTCTTTCACCTGTCCGTTCGCCATACTTCTGCGAGGAAGGTGGGAGGAGTGCCTCCTCTCCTCACTCAGGAGACCTGTGGGGTTCGCATCCCCACACAGTCCATACTGTCACTCCTACGAGCACAGGCAACAGTGGTGACTGTCTTCCCGAGCCCAACCGCCGCAGAATCAGGGCCAAATAAGCATGACCCTTTCTCCAGGTACCAATTTTGTTTCCCCAATTTCCAACCGTGCTGTCCCAGCCACCCAGCCAGGCAAACAGCAGAGAGCAGCGAGGCACAGGGTACGCTACCTTCACGCTCCTACAGGAAGCAGCCATCTTGTACAACTCTTACCGCTGGAGGGCTTTGGCACCTTTTATCACAGGCGTCACTGATTCGCCAAGGCGGAGCCGCTGGGCGGGAACGTCCGCCGCAGGGACGCGGGGGCGTGGCTTCCTGCCCTGTATCTTGGTGGGAGGGTGACTCTTCTGTCCCAAGTGGAATAGCAGCAGTAGGAGCTCGGGGCAGCAATGTAAATCGTTACAACGCCTTTGATCTGCTTTCTAACTGATCATTTGGCAGGCAGCCGGCTCCGAAGGAGGGAGACTGATTAAAAGTGACTTTTTCTCCAAAGAAAAAGCTTTCAAGTATAAATGACTCCTCAATGCATACATACACTGTGGAGACCACTGGAGATACCTAGGGGAGCACTAAAAGGTTTATGCCTTCTAGGAAGTTGGAGAAAGACAATTATAGTACAGACAACGAAAAGGACAGAGAACCAGATTTTGAATCCCGGGTCTTACACATAACACGCAAAGGCAGTGCTACTGAGCTACTTTACCAGCTCGTGGAAAAGATTCCAGAACACACAGATAAAGATATCCAAAAAGGATAGACAAGCGCTGAAGAGAAAGATGTGTCGAGACAGAGACAGAAGTGTCGAACAGAGACAGAAGGATCACACAGACATAAACGTGGAGAGCCACTAAGAGTCAGAGATATGAGCTAGGCGTGGTAGCATACTCCTGTAATCCCAGCATTCTGGAGGCTGAGGCAGGACAATCACTGAGTTGGAGCCCAGCCTAGGCTACATAATGAGTTGAAGACCAGCGTAAACTACACAGTGAGACCCTGCTTTAAAAAAAAAAAAGACAAAAAGATCTTTTATCGGTTCAGACTTTTCTACTCTGCTTTGTCTGTGCCATGTATTTCAAATGCAAAAGCCCGGAACACACATTGTAGAGTGGACCTTAACCAGAAACTTGTTTATTTATTTAAGAGGCTGGCTGGCTTGCTGGCTGCCTTGCTTGCTGGCAAGGTCTCACTATGTAGTGCAGTCTAGACTTGAACTCACCGTGTAGCCCCGGCTGGCCTCCCACTTGCAGTAATCCTTTTGCCTCAACGGCCCCACTGCTGGAATTACACAAATGCACGACCATGTCAGCTCGTGATTTGTACTGGTCCCATACTTGCTGGGGAGGTTGTACTCCGGACTTCACCGCAATAAGTGAAAATCAGTGAAGTAGTCATGTGATATTTATTTTAGTATTTATTTATATATGTATATACTTTTAAGGCTTTATAAACCCTCCCCACACTCATAAACCTTTTTCATACTTTTAAAAACACTTCTAATGTTCTTAACCATTTTCTAAACTTGTAAACCTACATAATTTTAGCAACATATGTATACTGTATGGTACTTCAAAATCCTGCAGTATAGCAAAAAAAAAAAAACCCCACAATAAATAATTTAGATTAATATTTTTTGAAAACCTGTGAAACAGTGGGTCTGCAAAAGTTGAACCGTGAAACAGTGAGGGACTACTGTGTTTTAAAATCCTAGGCCTTTGGTCATTCTAAAATAGCTTTCCATCCTCATGCTCATTAGAATATTTTTTAATGTGTGGGTAGAGCCTAGGACCTGTGCACTGAGCTATATCCCCAGTCTTTTATAACTATTTTGAGACAAAGTCCCTCTAAGCCCCTCTATACTTTTCCTCAAATCAAGGTCATAGGGCCACAGATCTTAGCCGAAATTTTTCAGCCTCATAACTGCTCTGTTTTCTCTATCTGAAGCATATCTTTCCACCTGCTCTCCTACCCAGGAAGACTTATCTCTGGACTTCTAGTTATTGACAAAAGTCACACTCATGTTCACTACACTCTATTCATCAGAGTACTTAGCACCAAACTCACAAACTTTCTGGCTGCATGAAATGTGCCCATCAATTGGTAGCACTTGTCACTAGCCCAATATACTCCAGTTATTGCAGCCTCTTTTGTGTTCATCTTTGCATTAGCTGTTTCCTCTGCTTTTCTATGCTATTCCATGAGCATAGCATGACTACCTGTTTTGCCATTCAGAATTGTATAAGCTGAGCATGGTGACACACACTTGTAATCTCAGCACTGAAGAAGCTGAGGCAGGAGGATCAACATAAGTTCAAGGCCAGCATGGGCTACATAGTGAGTTCAAGCCCCAGCTAAACTATGTAGTGAGACCCTCTCTCAATAAAACAAAAACAAAAAAGGAACTAAATTTAAATGTTACCTCAAGGGCTGGCCAAATAGCTCAGCAGATTAAAGCACCTGCAAGCAGGTTCAGGAGCTGAGGGTTCAATCCCCAGGCCTGCCATGCTGGCCCCACCCTGGGAGCATACTGAGATGGCAATTGAGACTGGGCGTGGTGGTGCACCTGTAATCCCAGCACTTGGGAAGCTGTAAACAGGCAGATCACTACGAGTACCAATCTAGTAGTGAGACCCTGAACACCCTATAGACCCTTCCCTAAAATACAAAATAAATAAATAAATAAATAAATAATGAATAATTGTCTTCCTTGACCACTCGAGATGCAGTCACCTAGTTAGTATTATATTACATAGTTGAATTCTCTGCATAGAACCTACAGATATATCCATACTCTTTCTTCCAAACTTGGAAAAGTTTTGAAATTCTGAATTTTTCAATTTTAGAAAAGAAGATATATGCTGTTATATAAACTCTATACTACATCTACTCTATTACATAACTACTGAGAAAGGTCTGAAGTATGATAATTAAACATTAAAATGTTTAAAGTGAAAGGTGTGAAACTTGACAATGTATAAATAAAGACTATAAATCCTTCAGGCTACTTTGGGGCAGATTTTGTCATCAAATGAGTTTGGGCTTCATAATATGAAAAACAGCCATATGCTTTTCAGAATGTTTGGCATTGTATAATTGTGCCTAAAGGTTTGTGAGGTTTAACTTGACCTTATTTGTGTGATTCTTCCTGTCCTTGAAAATAAGCCCAACATTTTTTCTCGCTGATTCAATTCTTGACAACCCAATGCCAAGAACACTACCTGGCATTGTGAAAACAGGAGGACTCATAGTGATATGAGTCTGAGCTGTGGATTTAGCCATTGTATCACTTTGCTATGCCCAAATAAAATCAGTTATCTTTAGAGAATCTTCATCTGAATTTTAAAATTTAGGTTGATACATGTACTAGGTACTCAAAACAAATGTGTTGACTGAATGAATCTTGGGAGAATTCAAAGGCCTAGTTTCATGACCCATTCACCTGCTGAATTATAGAGACTTTCACCTCCTCTCTACTTTAACCATTTTCCTAGGCTACGTTATGACTTTTCTCCCTCAGCACCACCCTTTGTGCCAATGGAAGCAACAGCAATGTGGAGGGCCCTTGCCTGCTCCTCATCAGAGGCAGATACCCAGAGCTTGGCCCTCTCTTGCCTCCCCAGCTCTCCAGCCCAGGAGTTAGATTAGTTTCCTGAAGAGCTCCCATGGTCCCTAAGGCAGGAGGATGAGGAGAGAATGTGATAATCCCATTCACCCACTGCCCACTTGGGTCCAACTGAGTAAGACTTGGAAGACAATAAAGGGCTGTATAGGGAATGAGTCAGCCCAGACAGGGTTGCAGCTGCCAGCAACATCCCTGCCAGAGTAACTAGGGAACACCTGGAAGTGGGGGTTGGCCATATGGGGCCTGGTACTCCTTCCAGGTATGAGGCCTCAAAGGCAGTTTCCGTAATTGAGGCAGAGGTAGAGCCTCCTTGGGGACAAAAGACAAGTACACTTCTGGGCCTCTACTCCGTACCTGCTACCTACTAAAACTATGGGATGGCCAGACTAAGTGGTGCACATCTGTAATCCCAGGAACTGGGAGGATGAGGTGGGAGGATTGCAAATTAAGTGCAAGCGTGGACTGCATGGAGTACTCTTCTCCACACCCGAGACTCCCAAACAATCTTATTAACCTCAGAAACAAGGAGCATTATTAAATCCAGCCTGCCTTTGTCATCACAACTCTTAGAATAAACTTGATGAGCAAATAAAACTGTTGGTAATCATTGCAGAGGGACAGAGGACAAATTCCAAGGTCCCTAACCTGTTACTAAATAAATGGATGATTTGTGTTCCCTTGAGACAGTTAAGGATTTAAAACTGCTTTTTCTAAAAACAAATAGACCACCCCTCCAAGAAAAAAAACCACAGTAATTATTCACTTGAGTCTATAGATACCCAGTGGGTAAATAAAAACAGGATAAAACTTGACATCTCTGCCTTCATGACCTTAGAACTTGGGTCAGATCGCTACTCAGGTGTGCATATAAATGCATTTTGATCATTTAATGAATGTCTGTCTAAAACCTGGTGATACACGGCCCATTAACCCTAAATTTATGTAACCTATTTCATCCTCCTCCAAGGCTAAGGACAGCAGGATAAGAGATTTACAGATACTTTTAACTTTTACTTCCTAGAATGAATGCCTAAAAGTTCCCAGTCACTATTTTAAAATCACAGTCCCCTTAAATTCAGCCTTCACCAACAGAGTGACTGTCATAGTCCCTTAAGCCAAAGCAATGTCTTATGGGAACTGTATTGCCCTTCAAGCCATAAAGACTTCTTCAGAGCTGTGAAACTGGAGCTGAGATAATGAGCAACCAAACTCTAGCCCACCTCAGCATCCCTTTAAAAGCTGTTCCTTTTCTTTTGTTAAGCTGTGCATCTAACCTTTGTCAGACCTATGCCACCTTCAGTTCCTCAAGCTAAAGTCCCCTCTTGTTTTCTCTTACTTACACTTTAAGGGATTTGCCTGATCTCTGTCAGAACTGTGTCTCCTTTAATTGGTCTTCTCAAGCTAATGTCCATTCCCATATCCTCTTAATTTCCACTTAAAGCTTTGGCTATAAACTTGTACTGTTGCCTCAATGTTAGTTTTTATTGTTACTGAAGCAAGGCCCCAGGCTATTCAGTGACATAATGCACCATTACCTGGAAGTCTATGAGATCTAGCATAAGTCATCAAATTCCAGCCTCAATGTCCTCCACTGTCAAGTACAAATACCCAAGCGGATCATGTCTACAATGTGCTTTTTTTTTTTTTT